ACGTTTGTTTTGAATTTCTTCACGTTACACCTGATCCTGATCTTTGATTGGTTGATAGACGTCGGAAAATCATGTGAAAGTAAAATCGATCCTACGCCCTGGCGTAGTCAATTTAGCAACCTCCTCAGAGTCAGTCATTTGACACAATTACAAGTTCTAAAATAATCAATCGTTTGACAATTGCATGCTCTAAAATTAAACCTTCCTAGTGCATCCCTAAAAAAAGTTACGTAACTGAGCTTAAATTTTCTCCGCTTAATCATGTGTTAGCAAAATTATATTGATTTATACTGATCTCGATATGCGATATATGTGTCAAATAAAAATCTAATCCTGTAATCACAACCGATCCTTTAAATTTTGGAGTACAAACAAAATTAGCGCAGACGCTAAAAGATTGAACAGATGAATATTCGAATACTTATTTTTTTGACTGAGACCTCTACATATAACCACTCCGAATAATAAAAATATATTGCGCAACGTTATTATATCAAAGTATTAATAAGCAAGTTTACAATTAAACAATCAAATACAAACAAAATGTTTAAATTTTATCATGTTTTTATCACATAAATGATTGGATCAAATTTTATGAATTACTGAATTATTATCATTGATTTTTAGTATATATTAGCAAAAATTATTTCACTTAGCCTAACCGGCTCAAATCATTATTTCCGATGTACTACAATTAAAAATTATTGAAAGATTGCTATCGCTATATATTATTTTATTGATTACAGCTAAATTTATATAAGAACATTTCTAACGTTTCTAATAGGCTATATATTGTTAACGTCCAAACCAAAATGGACTAAACCTATTGACATTGTGTCTTGCTAACCAACTGTTGAAACTTTGGTGTACTTAGAGTTTTCCGTTTGAACGATGCTTTGGCTAATGGCGAACCCGGATGGCAAAGATTTGCATACAAACTATTAAAAGATTCACGAAAAATTTTTTGTATTCTTAGAAGCATTTCGAATTCATCGACAAATGATAACATCTCCTTTACTGAAGCGGGGAGCGTTATTTGACCAATATGAATCATAACATACGATCCCTTGGTTAAATCCATCGCATAAAAATCAACTTTATAGTCTGCAAAGGCAAATCAAAAAAAATAAACAAATAAATAAATAGATCAAAAAAAAAAAAAAAAAACTATATAAAAAATAAAACCTTCTTATCGATATGCTTACCTATGCATTGAAATCCCAGGACTTTAATGTCTGCACCTTTGTCAATGGCTGAATCTAAACAATCCTTCATGAAAATACCAATACGGATTAGATCATTGCAAATTTTGAACACATTATTTTTTTGTGTTGGTGGTGTCACTTCGCCTACGAACAAAACAGCCTTTGCCCGTAGTTGATGAATGACCGAAACTGTGAAGTCGGGTTGTTTGGTTCTACCGTCAAAATTTTTGGCCTTACTTTCTTCTAGTGCCGTATTCGACCATTGAACAATATGTCGATTTGGGTCGTCAAAAAAACCTTTCATAATTCGATCAAGATAATTTGTGATGTGGGTCATTTCACTGTGATCGCTTCTTATATTTAGCGTGGGCAACGTTCTTAGGCAATCTAAAATTGTGCTACCTGCGTTCTCTCTCAGAACATTTTCTCTTGCAAGCTTTCCATACAACCAATTTACAGCATGTTCACATGAATTTTTCATTGCCATTTTAATGGCTTCTCTAAATATCAATTCACACTGAGGATCTAATGTAGCTTGTTGTGTTGGCATAAATTCTTGATAGATTTGATCCAGTAGGGGTGAACCGAACATATTGATCATAATATCTGAATGAGAATTTTGAGTTAAGAGAAAGATTGAAGATAGTGATAATATCTCATGTACGTTGGATTCGACAAATAGCCCCTTAGTCTTGGCAAGTTCCAATGACCGACTTTGATAATTACTGAATAATTGGGATACATTAATTTCCCCTAAAAATAAGTCATTATTTATGTTATCGTGTTCGAAGGTAAGTTCTTGTGGGACGTCATCGATGGATATAATACTATTTTCCTCTAAAAACGGGTTACTAATGTAATCAAATAATGAAATTTCTACTGTTGAACTTCCTAATGTTGGACTACATGACGACGGAGTGGTAGACCCATCTGGCTTTATATATGGCGATGGAGTGGCATATCTATCTGACTTTCTACATGGCGACGAAGTGGTATGCCCATTCGATTTTTGAGTATCACCTGGTGGTGTATTTTCATCACATGGACGTTGGATATCACCTGGTAGTATATTATCACATGGTCGTTGAACATGATCATTTTTTGTTTCACATACAGGAGAAAAGTGTTCGTTTATTTTTGTCCGTTTAGTTAACTTTTCTTCACGATCATCCTAAATATTAAAATACATTGGTCCTGTTGATTCTCGCAACTTTATAACAAAGATGCGCATTCGTTACCTCATTCTGATTTCTTTTGCTTGACATAGCTTCGTTGTTTATACATCCAACTGTTCCTCCATTTATTATAGTCACATTCAGGTTTACATTAACCGATTGATGTACGTGAACTTGCTGCCGTGTGCGCCTCTTTTCCCATTCTTTGGCTTCTATACGATCACACTTGAACAATTTGTGAAATTATGAAAAATTAAAAATTAGCAATAATTTTCGACAAATATTTTTATCCCACCAGAACATCAGCCTGCCTAGCAGACAAACTGCGCCCCAATGGGGCCAGTGCTGGATCAGCTAGCAGCCTTTGGCAGCAGATAACCTAGCAGATCACCTGCGCGCCAGCACCAGACTATGTGGCTCAGCTAACAGCCTTGAATGAACGGCGACCTAGCAGGCCCCCGTCCACGCCACAATTTAAGAAAACTTTTACTTGCCATCTTAAATCTGCAAAGAAGTAATTGTGCTTTCTCAACTCTCTTTCTTTCCTCTTGCCGATTGTTAGCAATGGCTTCAAGGTTTTTTTATATCTGTCTAACTTTAAATCAAATGGCTCTAAATCACATTCGTTTAAATAATCCATAATATTCCAAAACTCAGGTTTCCGTTTAAAATATTTGTGATTTTTGGACAGCTATGCGCAGAATAAATATTTGACGCGTCTAGCATAGCAGGAGTTTAGTTTTATTGGTTGCCAATATGCAGCCTGTCGATCACAATTATTCGACTATGATTGGCCAGTTAAAATCATTATATATATATAAACAAAAAAAAAATTTTGAAATCGTCTCTTGTAATCAAGGCTTTACCGGATTATTAAGTTAGAGTTTTGCTTAAACCGGTTTCATTGGAATAAACAT